AACCCACTTATTTATCGCAAAGTGCCAACACGGCAATTTAACCTGAATACTGAGGTTTTACTTTAGAAAAAAACACTCATACATTAACTTAAGAGGATCCAAACAAAGTAAGGAAAGCAATCCCAAATGCTTTCATTCACTTAAAATTATTTGGCAGAGAATTCGACACTTTAATGATGGTCTGGGCCTGGCTGGGGCGATGGCACGCGTGCCCACAGAGAGGTCTCTGAGTGCCACCTCTGGCACCCGTGCCATAGGTTCGCCACCCCTGCTCTAGGCTGATCTTGCACTGAGCAAGGGGCTGGACTAGATGGCCTGTCAGGCCCCTTCCAACTCTATGTGATTCTATGATTCTATAAGTATTTGTTAGCATTCCTTACAACAATCCTGCGAGGGAGGCCCTAAGGATTGTCTCGATATTGCAGAGAACCATCCAATGCTCCCCCTAAGCTGTAGAGTCCTGTGAGCAAAAATTCTACTTTGTGAGCTACCGGCATTAAAATTGTGAGCAAGTGAGTTGGCTGCTGCATACGTTAGTTTGGAGAAATCCCTCCTGAGCGAAGACAAAAAGGTGTGAGCCGGAGGCTAAAAAAACTGTGAGCTGGCTCACACTAACTCAGCTTAGAGGGAACACCGGAGCCATCTGAAGTTCGGCATGAGCTCATGAGTTTAAGGCTGAGTGGTCTCCCGAGCGTGTGCACGATGCGCTTCGATGCTCCTCTGATCTTCTCTTTTCTCTGCAGAACCCTTGATGTCAACGCCGGACATCTTGTCCCGGATAAAGCAAGAAGAGCCTTTCGCTGGGGGAGGGCACTTCCCGGAGGAGAGAGGCATCCCTACGGATCCTTGCGCAGGTGACTGGCTGAACCACAGGGCTCTCCTCTCTTGTGGGAGGAACGCGTGCTCCGGAACACCACCCTAAGGGCTCCCCCGCCCTTAGAAAGCCCAGGCCTTGCTGCAGTGGGAACACAGAGGGTGGAAAACCTTGCAAAATTTGGCTGCAGGCAGTGTCCCCTCTAAGCTGAGTTTAGTGTGAGATAGCTCACAGTTTCTTAGCCTCCGGCTCACACATTTTTGTCTCCGCTCAGGAAGGAGGGCTCCAGGGCGAACTGATTCATGCAGCAGGCAAATCGCTCGCTTGCACCTTTAACGCCAGGAGCTCACAAAGTAGAAATTGTTGCTCACAGGACTCCACAGCTTAGAGGGAGCATTGGCTGCAGGATATTTTTGTTTCCGCCAGATCTTACAAAGTCTGGTGTTCCATTGTTTTTTGTAGTCCTCTGGCCCAGTAGCGTTGACAGAATTCCTGGGGTGTGAACTTTGGGGTGTGTCGCATCACTGCTCGGCAGGGAGGGGGGCAGCCCAGTTTCAAGGAGACACCGTGTGACTCAGGGCAGCTTTCCCCGGAGGGGGCCAGAGATGGTTTTGTATCACATTTAAACCAGGTCTTGGTGAGACGCCAGGGCTCTTTTTGTAGAAAAAGCCCAGCAGGAACTCATTAGCATAATAGGCCACACCCAACAGCAGGAACTCATTAGCGTATTGGGCCACACCCCCGACAGCACAGCTCATTAGCATATTAGGCCACACACCCCATGTTACCAGAAGTGTGGTTGCGATATTACCCACTTTTTGCTTCTTATTCTGTTGACCTTGTTTGTTGTCAAAACCCAGGGCTTTTTTGTAGCAGGAACTCCTTTGCATGTTAGGCCACACACCCCTAATGTAGCCAATCCTAATGAGTTCCTGCTGTTGGGTGTGGCCTATTATGCTAATGAGTTCCTGCTGGGCGTGGCCCACTTGGGAGCCAGCCGGAACTCCGTTCCTGTGCGTTCCTGCCCAAAAATAGCCCTTGCTGAGACCCTTGTGTCTTGAGGCTTTTTATGGCAGGGGTCCCCAACCTTTTTGAGCCTGTGGGCACCTTTGGAATCCTGAAACAGCGTGGTGGGCGTAGGCACAAAATGGCTGCTGCAGTAGGCGAAGCCAGTCACAAGATGGCTTTCCTGCAGTCACACAGTGAGGATCCTCGCGTTGTAGCAGCAGCTGCCGCCAAAGCAACAGTTTAAAAAAAAAAAAATCTGCATGGCCAATCAGAAGGCTTGCTGAGCAAAAGCCCCACCTGGTCCGCCTGCTTTCTAAATACACTTGACGGGTGCCAGGAAAGAAGAAGAGATTGGATTTATACTCCGCCCTTCACTCAGCAGTTTACAATCTCCTTTCCCTTCCCCTCCCCACAACAGACATTCTGTGTAGTAGGTGGGGCTGAGAGAGTTCTTTTGTGGACTGCTCCCGAGAGAACAGCTCTGGGAGAACTTGTGACTGACCCAAGGTCACACCAGCAGCTGCATGTGGAGGAGGAGTGGAGAATCAAACCCGGTTCTCCCAGATTAGAGTCCGCACTCCTAACCACTACACCAAACTGGCTCTCAACAAACAGAAGAAGAGAAGACAGAAGAGATTGGATTTATACCCCATGGCCCTTCACTACCCGAAGGAGTCTCTGAGTGGCTTACAAACTCCTTTCCCTTTCCCTCCCCACAACAGACACCCTGTGAGGTGGGTGGGGCTGAGAGAGACTGCTCCTGAGAAACAGCTGACAGAACTCGTGACTGACCCCAAGTCACGCCAGCAGCTGCATGTGGAGGAGTGGGGAATCAAACCCAGGTCTCCCAGATTAGAGTCCACACTTCTAACCACGACACCAAACTGGCTCTCGAGGTGTCAGCAGAAACCATAGTGCCCATGGAACTAGGTTGGGGACCCCAGTTTTTAGGGTGTTTTATGATGACTACCAGAGCTGCGGTGGCTCAGTGGTTAAGACGCTGAACTGCAGGCTGTGGAAGGTCGGTCGTTCAGCAGTTTGAGACCCGAGTGTGCCGCATGACGGAGTGAGCTCCCGTCTCTGGCCCCGGTTCCTGCCAATGTAGCAGTTTGAAAGCAAGGCATCGCAATTAGATAAATAGGGACCACTTCGGTGGGAAGGTAACAGCGTTCCGTGCGCCTCGGCGTCTAGTCATGCCAGCCACATGACCACAGAAATGTCTTCGGACAGCGCTGGCTCTGCAGCTTGGAAAGGGAGATGAGCACCGCATCCCTAGAGTCGGATTCGACTGGCTTTCGAGCAAGGGGGAAACCTTGACCTTATGATGATTACAGTTCCTGTGGGGGTCTTCCCTTTTCTTATTTTTGCTTTCCCCCCTGTCATTCCAGCGGGGCGTGCTGAGATCCGCAGCCCCGGAGAGCCGCTGCGGTGGGTGGGTGGGTGGGGACTCTTCGAAGGCTTCCACCTGTCATGGGACTGCTTCCCTGGGTTGACAGGGCCACCTTGTTCTCTCCCGCCAGGTGCCGAGGCGCTCATGTCCGCCCACGACTTCCTGTATGGGACTGCTTCCCTGGGTTGACTGAGCCACCTTGTTCTCTCCCGCCAGGTGCCGAGGCGCTCATGTCCGCCCACGACTTCCTGTCCTGGATTAAACAAGAGGAAGAGCCGTGCGTCAGGGCCCACTGGGAGCCGGCGGAGAGAGACATGATGAGCGGCCCAGGACCAGGTGAGTGCACTTGAAGCCCCCGCGAGGGCCAAAAGAGAGCCTTGCCAGATCTCGGCTCCTTCTGAAATCCGCGTCTTCCCTTTGGCTGAGGCTGAGAGAGCTCTCTCGAGGACTGCTCCTGAGAGAACAGCTCTGAGAGAACTCGTGACTGTCCCAAGGTCACATCAGCGGTTGCAAGTGGAGGAGGAGTGGGGGAATCAAACCTGGATCTCCCAGATTACAGTCCACGCACTTAACCGCTACACCAAACTGGCGGGATATAAATCCAATCTCTTCTTCTTCTCTATCCCAGTCTGAACGTGGGAGTGGTGTTGCAAAGAGAGGAACCTATTCTGTCTTGCTCCGGAGAGCAGATCTATTCTCTCTCGCTCCGGATTGCAAGACTAGATCGAACGGGTGGAAATGACAAGGCTGTCGTTACCGGCTAAATATCAGGAGAAACTTCCTAACTGTAAGAGTGGTCGACAAGGGGAACAGACTGCCTCGGGAGGCGGTGGAGGCTCCTTCGCTGGGCGTTTCCAAGCGGAGGGTGGGCGACCATCTTTCAGGTGTGTTGTAGGTATATAGGGCTCTCTTTCGGCTACGCTCCTGCAGAGTGCAGGGGGTTGGACTAGATGACCTGCAAGGTCCCTTCCAACTCTTAACATTTTATGATTCTGTGAATCGGACTACAGAGGTATAATGCAGAGGAAAGGCTGGAGGGGCTTTGGAATCTTCAGTCTGGAGAAGAGGAAGTTGGAGGGGGGGACAGGATGGCTCTCTTGAAGTCTTTGAAGGGCTGTCACTCCAAGGAGGGCAGGGGGCTGTTCCTGTGGGCAGCAGAGGAGAGGACTCGCAATGTAATGGGTTTGAATTAAGAGCGGGAAGGTACCGGCTGAATCTTAGGAAAAACCGTTTTTGCAGTCAGAGTTGAGCAACAGTGGAATGAGCGGCCTGGGGAGGTGGTGAGCTCCCCCTCCCCGGCAGTCTTCGAGCAGCAGCTGGACAAACCCTTGTTGGGGATGCTCTAGGCTGGTCCTGCATTGAGCAGGGGGTTGGACTAGATGGCCTCTGCAGCCCCTCGCAACTCTGTGACTCTGTGATTCTAATGCAAAATGTAATCAGCTTGATTAGAACAGAGCACAAATGGGTTAGCAGCAGAAATGCAGCATCTACATCTACCCTACTGATGTAATGTTCTGGGGGGGGGGGGCGAGCATTTCCCCTCTGCTTCAATCAAGCTGATTAGATTTTGCATTGCGCTTCTGCATCCTGGGTCTCTTCTTTGCAAACACCCTTCCGACCGTCAGACTTGGAGATCTGGATTCTGACTCCTGTCTGACAAAGGGAGAAGAAGAAGAAGAGTAGAGGAGATTGGATTTATACCCCGCCCTTCACCTGGGAGTCTCAGAGCGACTTACAAACTCCTTTCCCTTCCCCTCCCCACAACAGACACCCTGTGAGGCAGGCGGGGTTGGGAGAGCTCTGACAGAAACGGCTCTTTTTCCGAGAACAGCTCTGACAGAACTGTGGCTTGCCCAAGGTCATCCAGCCAGGTGCAAGTGGAGGAGTGGGGAATCGAACCCGGTTCTCCCAGATTAGAGTCCGCGCACTTCACCACGACACCAAACTGGCTACACCATTAAAAAAACACCCATTTTTGTTGGACTCTGAGGTGCTCCTGAGCTGAGAAGTCGGGTTAGAACGGATAAAAGGAAGTCCTTCTTCACCCAAATAGTGATTAACACATGGGATTCACTGCCACAGGAAGTGGTGGCGGCTACAAGCATGGACGGCTTGAACAGGGAATTAGATTAAACATGGAGCAGAGGTCCCTCAGTGGCTCTTAGCCACAAGGTATAGATAGGGGCTCTGGGGCAAGTGATGCTCTGTCTTCTTGGTGCTTTGGGGGGGGCAACAGTGGGAGGGGCTTCTAGTGTCCTGGGCCCACTGCTGGACCTCCTGATGGCCCCTGGTATTCTTGGCCACTGTGTGACACAGAGTGTTGGACTGGATGGGCCACTGGCCTGACCCAACACTGGCTTCCCATGTTCTTATTGATAAGCATATGGAGCAGAGGTCCTTTTTTTTGGTGGGTTGTAGCCCCAAGGTACAGATAGGGACTCTCAGGCTGGGGCAAGGGATGCTTTGTCTTCTTGGTGCTTGGGGGGGGGGCAACAGTGGGAGGGCTCCTAGTGTCCTGGCCCCACTGCTGGACCTCCTGATGGTACCTGGTATTTTTGGCCACTGTGTGACACAGAGTGCTGGACAGGATGGGCTATTGGCCTGATCCAACACTGGCTTCTTGTACATTCTTATGACTTGAATCTAGCAGGTGGCAATGTGGCTGTCTCACAGTTAGCCGGCTTCACGGCAGTGTGGGGATTTGAAGCGACTTGGCCGGTTCGCGACGGGACTGGTTTCTTGGTAGAACTGGCTTCCTTCGCCCCCAGCGGCTGGGGTGAATAACTGTGACCTGTCTCCTTTCTGTCTTCCAGCCGGTGACGGGATGGCGGTCAAAGCGGAGGAACGGCGCCAGGGCCCGGAAGAACCAGCCCGGTCTGGGGAGCCGCTGTTCCAGGGGGAGCCGCCGGCCGCTGCCGCCCCGGGGGAATCCTACGGGGGGCCGTGCGGCCAGGTCCCGCCGCCCCTGAGCCCGGCCAGGAGCAGGGCGGGCAAATCCCTCGAGTTAGACAGCGAGCTGCAGAGCATCTTCGGCCCCCAGGGCCCCGCCGAGAGGCCGCACGGCTGCAGCGAGTGCGGGAAGATGTTCGGGGTGAAGAAGAGCCTCAAAGTCCACCAGAGGAGCCACCACGGCCAGGAGCGCCCCTACGAGTGCACCGAGTGCCGGAAGAGCTTCAACTGCCACTCGGGGCTGGTGCGGCACCAGATGACCCACCGGGGCGAGCGCCCCTACAAGTGCGAGGAGTGCGGGAAGTGCTACAGCCGCAAGGAACACCTGCAGAACCACCAGCGCCTGCACACGGGGGAGCGCCCCTTCCAGTGCCCCGTCTGCGGCAAGCGTTTCATCCGCAAACAGAACCTGCTCAAGCACCAGCGGATCCACACGGGGGAGCGGCCCTACCAGTGTGCCGAGTGCGGGCGCAGCTTCCGCTACAAGGAGTCCCTCAAAGACCACTTGAGGACTCACAGCACGGAGGCGGGGGGCCCTGCCCAACGACTCCTGCCCCCCCTGGCCGGGGACCCGCTCCCGTGATGCCCGCGGGACAGAGGGAAACGGAACCGTTCCGGCTTGGGCCGAAGGTTTCCTGTCTCCGTTCTCTCTGTCGCCCCCCCTTCTTGGGCCGAGTCCGGTGCTCCAAACCCGCCCGATGTTTGGGGGGGGACGGGGACCACCGCGAAGACTGTTGGAGGCGGAAGGGGGGTGTTTTCACGAGGCTGTGACTTGAGCGGAAAGTCGAGGCGGGCACTGCCAAGGCGGGGAGGCCCGTCTCGCCGTACCAAATACATACTGCTGGGGGGAGCGTCGAGAGCAGATTGCCCCCTCCGTCACAGCCCCCCTAGGAAAACGAACTCACAGGGGACTGGAGCGCTTGGCCGTTCTCGCCGCTGCAAGCTGTCATTGCCCGGCCCGGGGTGAACATTTGAGCATCTCGCTGTTTGACTCCAGAGAGCTTCTAATCCTCGCGGAAGGGCCAAAAACATGGCGGTGGCGCCTGCCCCCAAAGGCGCGGAGACCAAATCCCAGACCCGCCCGCCCCATGTTTGCGATCCAGTCCATTCCCTGGTGGTTTCCAGAGGATCGATCGCGGTTTTAGCGGGATGTACCTTGATCGCGTTGGGGTGGAACGGTTAAAAACGGCTGTCCTTTTGGCTTTCCGCACACTCAAACCAGACCATTTCCTGCCCTCCCTGGGTGGAGTAGCTGACCTCACACTCCAGGGGGCGCCTCTCTGCCTTGGCCTTTGGCCTCATCCCGCCGTCCCTGCCTTCATTCCCGGCCTCTGAACACTTCGACTGCACGCACCTCCTGCTCTCTTTCCTCCCCCGCGCCTCGCCATGCCCCCCCCCGCTCCCTGCAAATATATTTATTCTTCTTTTTCTGCCCCCCCTCCACCTTTTTCCCGTGCTGCAGCAGTTATTTTAACATTCTTTTAAAGCTCATGACGATACAGTCCGGCTCTGTTTAAAAAGGAAAAAAAAAAGTTATTTCCAGGTGTAGTTTTGTATGCGGGGTGCGACGGGAATAAAGATCGACAAAAGGAATCGTTCGGTTGTGCCGGGTGCCGGTCTCCGTGATTAACTTAACTTAGTAAAGGTAAAGGTTTCCCTTGCTCGAAAGCCAGTTGAATCCGACTCTAGGGATGCGGTGCTCATCTCCGTTTCCAAGCCGAAGGGCCAGCGCTGTCCGAAGACTTCTCCATGGGCATGTGGTCGGCATGACTAGGCGCCGAGGAACGCTGTTACCTTCCCACCGAAGTGGTACCTGTTTATCTACTTGCAATCTCTTGCTTTCGAACTGCTAGGTTGGCAGGAGCTGGGGCCAGAGATGGGAGCTCACTCCATCCTGCGGCATTCGGGTCTCGAACTGCTGAACTACTGACCTTTCAGTCTGCAGTTCAGTGTCTTAACCACTTGAGCCACCGCAGCCCGTAACTTAACTTTACTTCATTTACAGTCCATGACCAGAATACAAAGAAGTAAGAAAAAAGAATTACCATAGCCTGATAAAATATAAAAATTAAAGTATACAACTATAAAAGTCCATAAAAGTACTTAAAACTAATACTAATACAAATACAGCAATTTCTAACCTAACTATATAAAAATACAATCAGCTACTATCTTCCACGTTAAGTTGGGAAGTAGATATAGAACGCAGTTTAATCACTTGGGAGCAGAATTTAGCAACTTTCCGGGTGATCTCTATACTCACATCAGAGAGAAGTATGTTAATGGTCCCAGACCACATCACCCCAACCCCTCTCATGATACAGAGTTGTATCGTTTTCAGTGATTCTTTACTCCGCCGGGGTTTGCAGCCATTTTCTAACCCCTTGTGTTTTCTCGGATCTGTTTTTTATTGGAATCTTCACCTTAGAACGTAGTTTGCAAATGTGACGAACATTCCCGAAAGGGAGGCGTGCCAGGGCCGGAACAGAGGCATGCTGGGAGCTCCATGGCTGGCACTTCCGACACTTTTTTAAACTGAATGTTCAGGGTCTTGGTGGACAGATTGGCACAGTGGGAGGGAGGTTCCGCTGTTTTCACAGGAGGAGGCTGTACCCCCCCCCACACACAAACAATTAGTAAGAGCTCCAAACAGGGAAATTGCAGTGCATGTCTGGTTTGGCTGTTGGAGAGCTAGGACTGATCATGGCCCCCGGTTGGGTGCGCACCCTTGGTGTATGACATGACCAGTGTTCCCTCTAAGTTGAGTTAGTGTGAGCCAGCTCACACATTTTTGTCTTCGCTCAGGAAGGATGGCTTCAGAACAAACTAATTTATGCAGCAGCCAAATCGCTCGCTCACAGCTTTAATGCCAGTAGTAGCTCACAATGCAGGATTTTTGCTCACAAGACCCCACAGCTTCAAGGGTGCATTGGATATGACCATTGTTCCCTCTAAGCTGAGTTAGTGTGAGCTAGCTCACAGTTTTTTAGCCTCCAGCTCACACATTTCTGTCTTAGCTCAGGAAGGAGGGTTCCAGAGCAAACCAATTGATGCAGTAGCCAAATCGCTCGCTCACAGCTTTAATGCCCAGTAGCTCACAAAGCAGGATTTTTGCTCACAAGACCCCACAGCTTAGAGGGTGCATTGGATATGACCCAGCCTGCTGCCTGGGTACGGTCATACCTTTTAAAGCCTGGCACAGTCGAGGTGTCTCTACCAAGGCCCTCCTTCTGTTCCTTCCGAGTAGCATCAAAAGGGTTGAAAGGAGGAAAGTTGATTCCTCTGAAATGTGGTGTTGGAGGAGAGTTTTCCGGATCCTGTTTATTGCCAAAAAGACTTGCCTGTCATCTGTCAGCAATGCTGAGTCTGCGGACTTAGGCAGATCATGAGAGGCAAGGGCTGCATCAGTGTTTGGTCTCGGGGCCCTTTCTTACACACCCAGGGAAAGGCTGATCGCCACTTCAGGGGGTCAGGAAGTGGTTTTTCTCCAGGCCTGGGATCCTGGAAGGTTTTTGTCATCTTATCAGCATGAAATGGGTCACTGGGGGTGTGGAGGTCGCTGGGGGTGTGGAAGGGGTAGGTATTTGTGAACGTCCCGCCTTGCGCAGGGGGTTGGACTAGATGACCCTGGAAGTCCCTTCCAACTCTAGGATTCTATGAAATCAGTGGGTTCTAGGTCAAATCAAGAAGCTAAAACCACTAAACTGAGGGTATTGTATTTTGATCACATGATGGGACGACAGCAGTCCCTGGAAAATGCCGGGAACAGTTTATTTTATTTATTTATTTATTTATTTTATTCAATTTATACCCCGCCCTCCCCGCAATGCGGGCTCAGGGCGGCTTACATAGGGGCAAACGCCAATATAAAACATAATTAAAACCATTTAAAATCCCAACAGTACAAAACATTCCAGTTATTGACTAAAGTGCTCTAGGTGTCCAACATGAAATTTCGCAGAAGGCATTTTCAACTGTTCAGCATCGTCTGCTCCAGGGAAGCATTGATGTTCCCTCATCCAGGGCCAGGTGAAGATGGAATAATGATGATGGTAGTGGCAGTTCCTACTCATACGCCTGGTGGAAGAGCTCCATCTTACAGGCCCTGCGGAATTGCACAAGGTCCCGCAGGGCCCGGATCTCCTCTGGGAGCTCGTTCCACCAGATAGGAGCCGCCACCGAGAAAGCCCTGGCCCTGGTAGCGGCCAGCCTGGCCTCTTTGGGACCTGGCATTGCCAGGAGATGTTGGGTCCCGGACCGAAGTGCTCGCGGGGGAACATATGAGGAAAGGCGGTCCCTTAGGTAAGCTGGACCCAGACCATGTAGGGCTTTAAAGGTAAGAACCAGCAAGAGGATGGGACCTCTGCATCCAGAGGCAGAGTACATGCGATGGTCAGAATCTGGGGTTAGCCAGTAGGAGAGGGCTGTGGCCATCGGGCCCTGAGTCTGGGCTTCCCTGAAGCACCTGAGTGGCTACTGCTGGAAACACGATGCTGGACTAGATGGATCGCTGGTCTGATGAACCAGAACAATTCTTACGTTCTCAGATGCATAAGAACATAAGAGAAGCCAATGCTGGATCAGGCCAATGGCCCATCCAGTCCAACACTCCATGTCACACAGTGGCCAAAAATACCAGGGGCCACCAGTAGGTCCAGCAGTGGGGCCTGGACACTCGAAGCACTCCCACTGTTGACCACTCCCCCCAAGCACCAAGAATACAGAGCATCACCTGCCCCAGAGTCCCTATCCATACCTTGTGGCTAATAGCCACTGATGGACCTCTGATCCATATGTTTATCCAATTCCCTCTTATAAGAACATAAGAGAAGACAATGTTGGATCAGGCCAACGGCCCATCCAGTCCAGCACTCTGTGTTACACAGTGGCCAAAAATACCAGGGGCCATCAGGAGGTCCAGCAGTGGGGCCAGGACACTAGAAGCCCTCCCACTGTTGCCCCCCCCCCAAGCACCAAGAATACAGAGCATCCCTTGCCCCAGACTGAAAGTTAAGAACATAAGAGAAGCCAGTGCTGGATCAGGCCAGTGGCCCATCCAGTCCAACACTCTGTATCACACAGTGGCCAGAAATACAAGGGGCCCTCAGGAGGTCCAGCAGTGGGGCCAGGACACTAGAAGCCCTCCCACTGATGCAGCAAAATAACATGGCCTCCTTTGCAGAGCTGGAGAAACTGTAGAGGAGAACAACCAAAACGATTAAGGGAATGCAGAGTCTTTCTTATCAGGAAAGGTTAAAGAGTCTGGGACTTTTCAGTTTAGAGTAAAGATGACTGAGGGGGGGACGTGATCGAGGTCAATAAAATGGCGCTTGGGGTGGGGGATGTGGGTCAAGACAGCAGGCAGAGCGCCCTAACTCTCTGCGCTGCAGGTCCTTCTCCCCCAAATATGGCAGACGTACAGGGGCATGTGACCCCCCCGGAGAGACCCGAGCGCCAAACCGAAGACCCTCGCAGCTTGTAGACCACGGTCTCAGGGCTGCCACGCACTTTCCCCCTCCGTAGTCTTCTTTCCCTTCCCCAAATTAATAAATGTTGTCGCCGTTTTCTGAATCGAAAGATTGAGGTGATGGATGCAGGAGAGAGAGATGTTGTTGTTGTTCCGTCGCACAGTGAAGTCCGACTCTTCGCGACCCCATGGACCAGATCACGCCAGGCCCTCCTGTCTTCTGCCGTCCTCTGAAGTTTGCTCAATTTCATATTCGTTGCATCGATGACACTGTCTAACCATCTCATCTTTTAGCCTTTTGATACTGTCCATGGGGTTTTCTTGGCAAAAATACTGGAGTGGGTTGCCATTTCCTTCTCCAGGGGATCACACTTGGTCTGAGTTCTCTGCTGTGGCCTGTCGGTCTTGAGTGGCCCTCCACGGCATAGCCCACAGCCTCATCGAACCACGCAAGCCCCCTCGCCACAACAAGGCAGTGATCCATGAGGGGGAGAGAGATGAGTGCTTGTTTAAGATTTAATGGGCCCTTCAGCTGATCGGCAAGGAGCACGTGGCCCGCTGATCAGCTGGAGGGCCCTTTAAATCTTGCAGGAGGGGAGGGAGAGGGGTGTGCGCTACCCCCCCTTCATTATGGCAAATAATGGCAGCCCCACCATGAAAATATCTGCCCCACACACCACAGAATCCTGGCTACGGGCCCTGTCGGGGGACCCCTGCTGTAGCACCTCAGTCCCCTTTGTTCTCCTGTTGAAGGAAACGCCTCCCCTGATGCTCTTGTCCAGCGCCAGTCACAGAAACCGTGCTCAGCTGTCAAAGAGCGGTGCCAGTTCCCAGTTAGCTCCCGGGGCCGTTTTAAAGCTCTGGTGTGGTATGAATGGGAATATAAAGATTTTTAAAATATTTTTTGTTGTTCAGTCGCACAGTCAAGTCCGACTCTCCGCGACCCCATGGACCAGATCACGCCAGGCC